TCATGAGGATTTGGTGTGTGGCTCTAACACATCCTAATTCCTTTACTATTCCCTTTCCCTCCCTTCCCTCTTCCCTCGTCCCTTGATCCTCTCTGCATTTACAAAACATCTATCTCCATTTTTTAAATTATTTTATCCCTTTACCCTCTCTTCTCTCCCTCCATTCCTTTTTAAACAATAACAATACATTAAAAATTATCTGAGGTATATTCCACTTAAATGGAAAAAAAAATTTAATGAGAACTTCCTCCAGAAAAAAATCTCTAGAAAATTAAAGGCAAATGAGTTATTAAATCAAATCAATCTCTTTCAAAAAAACTTGTAGCATATGAAATAGTAAGTAAAAGTAAGACTTTTCAACTTAATATTTTAAAATTAATTTTATTAGTACATTTTAAATACATGGAGTGACCACATTCATCGTAGGGCATTTGTACCTGTACCTAGTATATCTTGATTTTTTTTTAATATATTAATTTTTCTAACTAAAGAGAAAAACTCATGATATAAGGCCCTATAACATTTCATATATATAATGTATATATATTATGTATATATGTGTGTGTTTTCATTTTTTTAGTAAAAGTAAAATTATATTAAACAATGTATATTTAGTTTAAGTGTGTAAAATTTACTTGCCCTTACTAGATTTTGTAACATATATAGGTTTATATATGGAAAATACATATACATATACATACACATATATGTAGTATATAGGATACAATAAATATACCTTATATGCAAATATCAGTTGTATATACTGTATACACATATACTGTGTTACTGAGTATATAATATACAGCCTACTAATATTCTACATAAAATATACAGATTCTGTATAATATGCCACAGAAAATATACTACCAGAATATTTGTGTATATTCTGCACCCCTTGCAGTGTACAATATTTGCCAACATATGATTGTTTGATTTATGAAGGTCTGATACATTGTTTTTTTCTAATTTTAAAGATCTATAATTGAATACAATGTTGGCAGGCAGTACAGTTGCACACTGCAGATAAATGTAGAAAGCTATATGTATATTGGTCAACAGTGACATCATTATTGCTTCAGTTATTGCATCATTATATAATTCTTCAATATTTATTTAATTTTTGCATCAATATTGCTTCCTTAGCACTAATTTACTTGCTCTAATTTATGCCTTAGAGGGTGGCAGACACTATTTCTTGACATTTTAATGCTAGTTGTGTGTGTTTAGTCATTTTTTTTTTTTTACATTCTTCTGTATCTTTCATGCCTGATATCCTTAAGCACAAACCAGATCACTAAGGTAAAGCCAGTTGAGGCTGAAGAACTTGCTCAAGAGTTCATAGGTGCAAAACAGGCCTACAAAGCTGGGTGTGCTGGCCCACACCTGTAATCTCAGCACTCTTGGAGGCTGAAGCAGGAGGATTATAAGTTCTAACCCAGCCTGAGCAATTTAGCAACTCAGTGAAATCATGTCTCCAAATAAACAAAAACAATAATAATAAAATAAGAAGGACTGTGTGGATATAGCTCACTATGAGGGCCCCGGGTTCAGTCCCTACCCCTAGAAGTAAAGAAGCATAAAATTGCAGAAAGTTGATTGCTGAAAAAAGATTGATGATTGACTGATTGACTGATGGATTTTCTTTTTCATTGCATGGTCAACCAAATGGGTTGATTTAATCTGTACAGTGCGTGCTAGCAGGGGAGTCTTTTTGGTCCCCTGGCCTTTGACTGTGGAAGGGAATACAAGCTTTCCAAACATCCTGCCAAGAAGGGGTGACCTGAAGGTCAGGTGTTAAGGTACAGCGAACAAAGGAAGGATTTGGAGCTCACGGTGTTTTTAATTGCGCATTTCTGAGTCTGAGTGAGTCATTCTCTTCACTAGGAGAGGGGGCTCAAGCAGCATCTCAAACCCTTTATAGCAGATATGATGAGCTCTGATTTCCAACTCACTTCATTGTCACACAAAAGGAAGGAATGAGCTCAACTCTGCACAGACTTGCCGGCAGACTTACTTAAATTGCTTTCTGTGTTTCGTGGGTTATCTTTAAATTTGGACGATCTTACTTTTGCCTGCTTTCCCCAGTGCAGACAAGTTAATGGGAGCATTTCTGGGCTCATAGCTGCAAAGCACAGTTAGCACCAACAGTACTGCTCAGCTTGGGGTGTGGTGATGTCAGTAGACGAAGCCTGATAATGTCACCCTATCTACAAATCCTATTTTACTACATTTCTGGGTTTTTCTTGAAATACTCCTTGATCTTTCTCTCAGGTTGAAAAGCGATCTTTTTCTCAGTGTTTCCTGAAATGTTGCTTGATCTTTTTCTCAGTGTCTGAGTATGTGCTTATCACCCTTTGAAATAGGGAGCAAAAACTTCTGGATGTATTTGCAATTTTTAATTATAAAACTTATATTTCTCCCTCCCTTCTTTTTTCTTTTCTTCTTTCCTTCCTTCCTTCCTTCCTCCATTCCTTCCTCCTCTCCTTCCTCCCTCCTTTCCTTCCTTCCTTCCTTCCTCCATTCCTTCCTCCATTCCTTCCTCCTCTCCTCCCTCCCTCCTTTCCTTTCTTCCTTCTTTCCTTCCTTCCTTCCTTCCTTCCTTCCTTCCTTCCTTCCTTCCAGGAAAGAAATGACTCCATTTTATTAGTACATTTTGCATATACACAATGATCACATTCATTTTAGGGAATTTGTATCTGTACATGACATAGCTTATTATTTTTTTCCCATTCC